CCATTCGGCCGCCGCTCCTTTCGATCTTATTCCGCGAGTGACTTCTCTCTCTCTCTCTCTCTCTCTCTCTCTCTCGCATTCACTCCGTCTCAAAGTGACTCCCTCCTCTCGGACGGGTTCTTCTCGCAATCTCCATCACTCAGACTCTCGTCGTGCCGCCGCAGCCGATCTCTATCGCCCGCGGTGCGTCTCGCTGGCAATTAGTCCATTAAGATAAGACCCGTCTCGGGAATTAACGGAAAGGAAGGGACACTTATCCAGCCGGGCGAGTAAAGTATCACGAAGCAGGACAAATCGACGTATCACCAAATTACTATGCTCGAGAAAAAGTTATAAGATAAGTCGTATCTTGTTAAAGACGAGATATGCTCATACACGTATATATGTCGTTCCAAATAAACGCCAGGACGCCGACATAGTTGCTCCAATCTAATTTTCTAAGAGACTCCTATCTCTCCTCTATAAGTGTATATTCATATCCATGAACTTATACATCTTTGTTACATTTATTTCTCACACAAGTAAAAATGTCGTAGATTAACAAATTCATCTCCCTTAAACATTTCTGTCGAGTTATGCCCGCATTCCACTAAATTGCAATCTACCGCTCCAAGAGCGATGCTCTCGTCATCGTTGCCCTTCGAGATGACCGATGATGCATCATTTAATCGCCGCTGATGAACGTTACGAGAAGCCGTCGCGTTTAAGCGGAATTCGGAATCGGTTTCAGAAACTTTAATTCAGTGTAAACCCATACGAAGTTTCAATTATCTCGCGAATTCTTAAAATAAGTACCATCGACATGATAAAACCTCAAAGATCCGTTATCGTCTGCCTGTTAGAGGAGTAATCTGAAAAATCTCGACATTTCTCTGATTTCAACGCAAAATATGAAATTTCTCGCACAATCGAATCGCTCAAGCCTCTGCGAGCACCCCGCGGAATTTTTCCGGCTGCCGCTGACCTTGGTCTCCGCTAAGTGGGTGACCTTCTGACCTAATCGCCGCTAATTTCATTTGCTAGAAAACTCGCCGTCACGGCTGCGAAACCGCGCCGCGCGCGTCGCGCGTCCGCGCTCGCTCGCACGCTCGCTCGCATTTTTACGCGCCGCAGCATCGGAGAGGCTCGGCCCGCCTGTCTGTCGCGCTCCAAATACCTGTTCGGCTCTACCCACCTGCCGTGATTATGGCTCGTGGCGTCCTACGTAAATCTAGCCGCGGCTCGCGACGGGAGAACCTCGCGCTACCGTCGTGAGAATCCATTTTTCCGCCAAGTTGCACTCTCCTTCCGGCTGCCCTCGATCAGAACCCTACAGTGAGCATACAAGAAATTGCAGCCTGCTCCTTTTTTTTACTCTCCTTTCCTGAATCGCCAAAAGAGGAACATCGGCTAATTTCTCTATTCTGTCCCAAGTGACTTAAAAATCTTTTCATCCAAATTTTAATTCAACAAAAAGTATATGTCAAAGAGTAATATACGATAAACAAAAAAGAATGACTTGAATAAGAAAAGTGAATGTAACGATACCTAAAATATGTTATTATTCTATATATATATATATTCCTTTTCTTATAATATAAAATACATCAATTAATATTTTATATGAATATTTCAAAGAAATTTTTATGTCACTGGATATTATAGAGAAATTCTGAAACGTTCTTCAAAAGCTTTCAATACCGGCATTGGTTACATATTACGACTTCGATAAGACGATTGAATGTAATCTCTTATTACGTGACATTATAATGAATAGCACTCTGACGACGTTGAGTTGCTAGCGCATAACACAAAAACTAACATGAAACGTCGATTTTGCATCAGCAATTTTGTAATAATTCAACAAAAAACAAGACCGGCGTTTAATTGTACGTATAATAATTTCCACATGTACAAATATTCTATTACAATCGACATTATTAAGTAATTTCATAACAGAGATCTACGTTCTTCAACCGGATGGAAAATCGATCGGACGTTACGCGAAGGACAAATCTAGAATTCACACGCCGCGTAATAGATGAATAACGATTCCGGATAAAATGACAGCACCGATCGCCGCCGTCTCGCGTTATAACGATCCCAGATCCCGCGAGATATCTCGATCGTACGGCTCGATCGTGCGGACCATTGGGTTTCGCATGTACTCACGGAGCTGCTCGCGCGACACCACGGAGATGCTGTTGATCATCGTAGAATCGAAGGAATCGCGACGGACGTTGCTGACGTTTTGCAACGACGATCGTGCGATCGGGCGGTAGCGAGCGTGCGAGTATACGAACGAACGCGGAACTGCATGTGCGTCGCGAACGACAGCTCGCGCGAGACTGCCGGCCCCCCCGATGAGACGACGCATCGTCTTTGGCATTCGGGCTTGGATGGGCAAAGTAGACGGATGGATGGATAGATGGGCGGATGGATAGATGGATCGATGGACAGACGCCGCGAGGCGTCTGCGAAACGCGCGCGGGCGCGATTTTTGTACTTTTAATCACGTCGAGTATCTCGTCTCGGTTCCGATTATCCGGCTCCCCGCGAGCGATTTCCCTCGGAAATAAAATCTACTCGAAAAAATTGACGGACGTCTCCCTCTCGAGTCTGTCCCCGAATAAAAATATTTGTGAAATCTCGCGATATAATACATTGACTTTCCTCGCGTCTGAATTTTCTAGCTCTTTTATTCCAATTTTGCATTGTCTCGTATATTCGGTTATACTAGACAAATAAGATTAATCATTGCGAAACTCGATTAATTTGCCCATTCCATTAAATTAAATGTCGCGTTTCGGGAAAATTTCTGGCGCGGCGTCAAGTCACGATGTTATTCGATTAGTTTTCCTCTTTTAATCCTTCCTCGACCAGTTCGCGTGTGGTCATCCTCCATAAGGATGATTTAATTGAGCTAATGGCACGTAAATGAAAAACATGCGTGAGGCATTCGTTCATCAATTATGCTCTTCCCAAAGTGCAATCAGACCTTCGTGGGTTGTATGATGTAACGCACGTTTCTGGACTATAGGCCGTGACATTGCATAACGCATTAAATGCGTATATGCTCGCGATACGCAATTGTAGCGCGAGTTATCGATGTACTGGATAATAACACACGTACTGCTAACATACTGCCATCGTAACTATAAGTTTCTTATGAACAGTTACGTGTCTATATTAACGTTCTAAAAATAAGATTTTTAATACGATACACACCGCTCGATAGAGCAAGAAAATAATTGATATACTTCCTGTTCAAAAGTAATTCATGCTTATTTAAAATTGATAAGTCGAATTGTTTGACTGAATTTTTTCTGTTAATAAAATTTTCAGGAACCAATTCAAATTTTAACGGTAGACTTTTCTATCAGTTTGTAATCGATTTTTTTCTTTACTTGAATTCAAAATGTCGAATGCACGATAACAAAACATAGATAACAAAATGTTACCTACGTTTTGTTATCGTTAATTTTAAACGATGCAACCTTGATTCCATAAAATTTTAATTTAAAATTTGAAGATCACAAGATATTATATCAATATTACGGAAAGTGTTCCTCGGGAGAAAAGTCAATTGCAAAACAGTCGACAAATATACTTGCAAGTTCAAGTCCACTGCCGCAAGAATATCCCGTGCCTACATGAATTTTATCTCTTCCGCTTTGCCAAGGAGAACACTGCCAACTGTGCTCGTTAACGTTAGAAAACGTTAGAAAAGTAGACTCTATACCATGAAATCAAATTCGTCGAAAATTCGAAAATTCACATCTTTATTTCTATTTGAGATATACCGGAATCGACACGAGATTCGCATAAAAAAATTAGAAATTGACGTACACGGAAGAGAACAAGGCATGGAAGAGACCAGACGAAGGGAGACAAGCGGAGAGAGAGAGAGAGAGAGAGAGAGAGAGAGAGAGACAGAGCGTTTTGAAACGGTACGCATTTCGTCACGCTAGCGTGTGTGCATCGCATACGTGCGTCGTCGTAAATGCAGTCGTCCAAGAGGGACCGAGACAGAGGCAGAAGGAGGAAGAAGAGGAAAAAGGAGGAGGGTGACCGAGGGAGACGAGGAGGGCCTCGACGTCGTCGTCAGCGCGTCGCGAGAGACCTTGGCGGCCCGAAGAGCGTTACCATTTTCGCGGGGCGTATAGTAGCGGATCGACGCAGGTGTGGACCGATCGCGTGGTGCCCATAGGCCACCGCAGGGAACGCGAGTACACAGGCGCAGGGTGGGGCACGCGAAAGGGCGCGGGCGTTTCTCTTCACGCGGGGTGGAAAAAAAAAGGAGGCCGAAGGTGCGGACGGAGTTCGATCGTCAAGAATCAACCTCGGAGCCGACGAATCGTGGGAACAATTTGTCCGATGGTGACGGTGACGGCTACGCTAAGTATCGATTCGCATCGTTAAATATCTGACGCTAAATGCCCTGCAGGATCCGATCCTGACGTCTTTCGAACCATAGAATTTTTCCGTTAAATTATTTTCTAGAACGGTACCGTTCATAGACTACGGAAAATTGTGACTCTCCGAAATTCGTCGACCAACGCAATCAACTGACAATGCTCGTCTGCGAATAATTCAGAAATGTATCATTATTAACAAAGGTAAGAGGAGATTATTTGACGTTAATAATTAGAGTTTCTAATATCGTTCATTTAAAATTAAAATATCTCGTCATCATCAATATCTAATTATCTAATATTTAATTATCGGAAATAATTATCAGGAGGGCTTACTATATAGAAAGAAGAAGAGCACTGCAACAGTAGGTTAACTCATATTTTGTACAATGGAGAAAATAAACTCTCAAGTTAAAGTAATAAACTATATAGAATTTATTTTCTCTGCGGTTTAATAAAATTATATAAAATGTAGGTTAGTCCACTGTTGCAGCAAATCCTTTGATTTGCTTAATTAATTAAATAAAATGCAATTTTTTCAAAATAATTATACCTGTCCTATATGTAATAATAAATCTTACGGATATACAAAGAGAGGTGGTCACGCGAACGTGACATCTCTCTCAACATCTCTTTCCCATCGGTGTTCGGACCTCGCGAACAAAAATTCACTGTCAGCCACCCCCACTCGTCCGCGTCGCGTATTATGCGTCACCCTGTATTACGCGTCTAGTTTTATGCCAAACTAGAGCGCGCGGTGCTAAAGATAGGTCGTTGCAGGCAGGAATCGCGGTGTGCATCCATTACCGGCGCAGGGAACAAGGGCGACCTTGGCCTTACGAGCTTATATAATGAGGAAGCGGCCGATTCGCGAGCTCAGTCGTTTTGACGCGATATGCGAGCCGATCGCGATCTGCCGGAACGAAGCGTGCCATTTCCGGATGCATTTCTCTTTCGCTCTCCTCGCATCGCTCGCGCCGCATCTCTGTATCGATTTCGACGCGAAAATAGCGTCAACAGAACGCTCCTCGCGTTTATTGCGAGAGAACAAATTGCAATCGCCGATGCACTACTAAAGTGTCTAGCGTGTGTTTTCCACGCCAACGCAGGAGCATTTGTTTTTTGTTCGGACGCAAAAACGTCTAGTTTTTCCACGCAGTTATAAGCCGGTTAATTGAAAACTGAAAACTTCGGTTCGAAATTTTTTTTCCCGCCCTTTGCCGCGAAATTAATTTTCGTCCCCGTTGCGATCGGAGGCCGCTTCACGCGACGCTGGAAACTTCCACGAGGTCGTTACTTGAAAAAAAAAAATGAGAGCGACACCGCTCGAGATGGTAGTCGCGCGATCGGAAAAATATAAGTGCCATTAAAGGAGCGCGCGCGCCGCGCTGCGACCGATCGACTGACCGGCGGTCCGCGGTGGGGATCTCGGCTGCCGCCGTCGTCGTCGGAAAATCAACGTCTCTTCTTGGCAGAAACGGAGGTAGCCCGTGGGTGGCGGCGGCACGACAGACAGAAGTCGCCGAGGCTCTTCCGCTTTTTTGACAGATGCGAGCGTCAGTGCCGCGCGACGCGTCGTAGTGCCCGTCGAGTGAGAAGATCAAAGCATTGTTTACGACTTGTTTACGCAGTGCTTCGCTCGTTCGCGGTGAGTTACTTCGAAACGCGATTGCAACGAGATGCAGATGCGTATTGACGTTCTGGAAATTTTGTCACGATTAGCAATTTTTTTTTAAAATTATTAGTTACTTTACGAAAAAAGAAAGAAATACTTGGATTTAGAATCTCAAATTTTCTCTGAGTCAACTCAGTCTCTTTCTCACAATTACACATTACATATTGCGAGTTCTAAATTCTAATGGTATTTGTATTTCGTAAACTTTACGCAACTGCGTACACACACGATGCTGTCAAATAATAACAACGAATGAATAAAATTGGAAAAAGGATTCGATAGAGCTGATTTCGTATCGAGTGTTAAAAGCGTCTGTTAAAAAGCAAACTTTAGTGCGGCCTTGAAAATTCTTTATTATGGTCACGCGTCCGCGAGATCGCATCTGCTACGCAGACCGAGCCCATTAGATATGCAAAAAAAAATCTATTCGACTCTTTTGGTTTGCTCCGTGCAAACGACGTTACGTCAAGCTCGTTATAGAGACGAAATATCTTCCGGCGAAGAGGAGGGTACGGAGTGTTGCTTCGAGCACGTATCACTTTGTAACGACATCGAGCGTGCGTCAAACGCAGCGTAATTCCGACGAAACGGAAATTTGGCATTACCCATGCACTCAATGCATCAACACTTTAGGTCCGTGTTTATTCGCCGACCGTGAGGTCATCGCAGAAACTTGTCATAACTGGTGCAATACGCAAATAAAGCAAACGCATGATAATTTATTGCCAGTCGCTCGAATATTATCTCATGCGCGATCCTTTATTATTCCTCGGCATATTTTAGATATTCAAGATATTAATCCGTCTCGCGTGTTTCTAGGGCTGAAACGATTCCGGCGAGCCACAAAGTGAGCGGGGATTACGCAATACCAGCACGAGTTCCCAGGTAGAGGGATGTCCACTACACCTCTAAATATCATGAAAGCATCCATATGTCGCTTTGAATACTGAGTATATTTCTGTACCAATTGCTAAATAATGTAATAATCAATTAGTATAGCAATTACAGTTTTACGATATTTATTAATCGCAAATTACAGTCACGCACACATACACAATCGCATACGATATTGATTTATATTGACATTTTATGTAACATTAATTGCCATTTATTAAGTGACGTATTTATTTCATGTTTACCGAGAGTTTAAGTATAATTTCGAAAATAACCCGTCGATAAAAGCGTTAAAAGCGTTTCCTTCTCCAGGTGACCCACTGGCACTGCCACGAGGAAGGATGGTCAATTTATTACTACTTTGGGCGTTGGTCGGCCTAATTGGCCGAGTGCACGGCAAATGCAGCTTAGAACCGATCGCCGACAACGAGCGGTCGATCGCCTACGCGTGCATCCACAGCGACCTAGGTGACCTCGACGGGCTGTCCAGCGAGACCGAGTGGATCGAGTTCTCGGTGTCGCGCTTCCAGACGATCCCCGACGACGCGTTCCGCCGATTCCCGAATCTACGCCGCCTGTCTTTCTACAACTGCCACGTGAATCTAATCGAATCCGCGGCGTTTCGCGGCCTGCAACGACTCGACTGGCTGATATTCCACGGCACGAGGATTCACGCGGTGAGGTCCGCGTGGTTCGACCACCTGCCGAATCTCAGACGATTGATTCTGGACAGGTATAATTTTTTTTACGATATAATTATGAACTTGGCAAAATTCAAATTTTGGCAAAAAAAAAAGAATGAAAAATATCAAGAGAATATGAATAGAAATTCGAAAATCAAGAAACTGTAACTTTTTCAACATTATAGTTCTATGAAAAATGCATCATAAAATAATGATGCTACAGAAATTATTAATTATATTATTATCAGTTAAGGATCTTTGGTTTCATTTTACCCGTGGCAGTTGACGCCACATCCGTGATTCATGCAAAATGTCATCGACAATATTGTCTTGCTATTATATGTATGTCATCAAATTCGAGGACATCGATAGATCGAGGCCACGTGCAGCGGCTTATGTAAAGCATCCGACAGTTATACATTCGGTAATGTCAATAACCCAGTTACTCGTTGCACCGTGATGTCATTCGATGTTCGAATATCAACGATTATAGGCGCTAAATATGCGATTAACGGAGATCGCGGAGTTAAAGCTCTGCAGTGCCTGCCAAAAATTTGCGTCAAACCATCAAAAGAATCTCGGAATCCGAAGAGCCGTATATTCCATTAAAAAAAATATTACTAACTGCAATGCTGAGAGTCTTAATTATTGGGATCTTTAACGCCTCCCGTTACGATCCTCCTGAAAGTGAAAAACTTAAATTCTTAAGATACGAGACTCTTGAATTTTGAGACTCAAAGAGTCCTAATATTTTTATTATTCCTAAATATTTTTATCAATCCTAATATTATTATTTCTTCAGTTTTCGAACTTCGAGATTCTTCACCCCCCC